CTTTTTCCTTCCAACAAAAGTCCAACTTGGAGGTCATTAGAATCTATCCCAGGTGAGTCATGCAGCCAAGTTCTGCCCAATGTACTCTTTCCCGTACTGCAGGATGCAGAACTGAGAAAGGCTACTTCAGCAGAATCAGAACGGTTCAAAGGACAAAGAAGAAAAATTATTAGCATAACAAAACCCCTCTACAACTAGGGAGCAGCATCCAGGATACTGGGCCCTCCCTCTGGACATCTATATTAACTGGGCAAGTGTTCACCTTTCCATCATGTATGTTAGCCTGTCTGGTCACATTGAGAGGACAGAACAGCATGTTGCAAAGGTCTTTTCTCACTACCATAACTAGCGATTTCTTCTGGGTGGTTAAATGTATAGCTAGGCCGGGCAGTGGTGGCACACGCCTTTAACCCCAGCACTTGGGAGGCAGAGGCAGGCGGATTTCTGAGTTCGAGGCTAGCCTGGTCTACAGAGTGAGTTCCAGGACAGCCAGGGCTACACAGAAAAACCCTGTCTCAAAAAAAACAAAAACAAAAACAAACAAACAAACAAACAGAATTAAAAATAAACCTTAAAAGAGAAGTAAACTCCTGTAGGGAGTGGCACTGTTCAAAACCTTTGCTGCCTCTCCCCACATGAAGGGTGTTCATCTCTATCCCATCCATGCGCTGCTTACTACGTGTGATCCCTGTGCCCGAAGAAGTGAGTAACAGTATTACGGGCTACTCCTACACTTAAAATTTCCCAGGAGCCTCTGAGTGGATCTCTTCGAAAGGTAGGCCCTTTGCAAGACCAGGCAATGCTCTTAACCACTGAGCCACAGAGATCTACCTTTGCCTCCCCTCGTTAAGACCAAATGTTCCAAGTAGAGACAGTTCCTCCAAGCCGAGTCCCCAACTAAAATACTGTAGAGCTGGGATACCGAAGACCTACAGAGCATGTAGCATAAGCAAGGCCTATATACCTGAGCTGCAGTAAGCCAGAGCTTGGGGTGTTTGTGACTATGGGGTAACTTCATGTTGCTGGCTCTATGGACTTCATAACTTGCTTAAGCCACTGTTAGTTCAGGACTTTGTGACTGTTAAGATGCAATTCCTTAACAACAAGCCTCTGGAACAAATCCCATAAGGACCTAAGAAGGACTGGCGAATGTTCTCTTTGGCTCCCAGGCAAGCTTTCAACTTACTTCCCAGAAGCCCTTTCCTATTGTGTTTCATTTCCTGTGCGTCTTGACACCAGGCCTGCTCTTTAACCTCTTTGGGTAATATTTTTCCTATCTTTGTTGGGGGGTGGTAGTAGTTAAGATAGGGTCTATGTAGGCCTGGCTGTCCTGAAACTTACTCCGTAGCCTAGGCTGGCCTCGAACTTACAGAGATCCACTTGCCCCTGCGTCCTGAATGCTGAGATTAACTAAGTGTGTGCACTACCACACCTGGCTCCTCTTTCCTTTTTAAAAAATTATTTACTTTAGTATTATTATTGTTGGGGAAAGAAATGCAGGTGGACAGGCACATGCCATACATGTCTACCTGTGTGAAGGTCAGACCATACATGTCTCCCTGTGTGAAGGTCAGACCATACATGTCTACACATGTGAAGGTCAGACCATACATGTCCACATGTGTGAAGGTCAGATGAGAACAACTTCCAGGAGTCCTTTTCTTCCACCGTGGATTCCAAGGTCTGAACTCAGGTCACTAGGCTTGCTCTAAGCTTGTACCAGTTGTGCAAAGGACCAGAGCTCAGTCCCCAGCACTCACGTCACGTACACCTTCCGGACACCTCCTCCAGCTGGCCTCTGCCAGCATCAGTACTCAGGTGCACCTCCCTGACATGTAATCATAATTTTTTTTGGTATTTTTCAAGACAGGGTTTCTCTGTGTAGCCCTGGCTGTCTGAGACCTTACTCTGTACACCAAACCGACCTTGACCTCACAATCTGCCTGCCTCTGGTTCCCCAGTGCTGGGATTACAGGTGTGTGTCACCACTGCCCAGCCACTATATATTTTTAAAAGTGTTATTTTATTTTATGTGCATCAGTGTGAGGGTGTCAGATTCTTTGGAGCTGGAGTTACAGACAGCTGGGAGCTGCCATGTGAGTGCTAGGAATTGAACCCAGGTCCTTTGGAAGAGCACACAGTGCTCTTAACTGCTGAGCCATGGGAGGGAGAGGCAGGCGGATTTCTGAGTTCAAGGCCAGCCTGGTCTACAAAGTGAGTTCCAGGACAGCCAGGGCTACACAGAGAGACCTTGTCTCGAAAAGAAAAAGAAAAAACAACTGTTGATCCATATCTCTAGCTCCCGAGTTATTTTTAATTTCATGAGTTCGAGGTCACTCCAGGCTATCTAAGACCTTATCTGAAAACATACAGGAGAGACAAAACAAAGCACACTGAATTTTAGGACGTCATCTGGCTGGTGCACACTCTCCTCACTGCTGTTACGATGCAGGCGGTACTGGGCACAGAAATGCCCTGCGAGTGTGTTGCTGTTGGAGGCCAGGTTAGTGGGCAGCTATCTGTGGCTGCGTCTAGTCAGAAGGTGATGAGATACTGTGGATGTGGCCATGAGGAGTCGTTTGCCAAGGGCTTTCCTTTGCCCGTGCATCTAATCAGCCAGAGGAGTCAGTTGCCAAGGAAGCGGCAAAAAAATGGCAGTATATCACCTGAAGTTTTTTGGTGCGTTTCTCTCCATGGAGTCTCCACAAATGCCGCTCAACTGTGCCATGTAATACATGCATATCGTTAGCAAAGAATCCTTTTTTTAAAAAAATCTATTTATTTTTATTTATTTTATGTATTCGAGTACACTGTCGCTGTCTTCAGACACACCAGAAGACAGCATCCGATCCCCTTACAGATGGTTGTGAGCCACCATGTGGTTGCTGGGAATTGAACTCGGAGCCTCTAGAAGTGCAGAGGGTGTTCTTAACCACTCAGCCATCTCTCTAGCCTGAAGAACCTTTTATCATGTGCCCTTTCACATATTTGCTTTAGCAGAATATCTTTGCTCCTGTGTCTGCTTCAGCAAAACGTTCCTTCATGAGTCACCCCTAGTCTTTCACACCTGTGTTCGCTTTAACAAAATGTTCCTTCATGTGTTTGCCCCAGCAAAATATCATCCAACACTACTGACTTTCCAAGAAACCCTTAAGTTTCCACCTCAGACTGGAGCTGAGGATGACCCTGAATTCCTGCTTTCATGTGCTCACATTACATGTGTGAGCCAACAGTCACAGGACACCCAGTGTCAAAAAATCTATCTAAACACATTCATTGATTTACGTAAAGCTTCCCCTGACCCTCTCTCCCCTGCAGGAGTCCCTCAAAGGAGAGCTGGAATACAGACTTGATGAAGCCTGCTAGCTCAGCTGTAACTCATGTTTCAGGTTTGGCAGCCATCTTGTTCATTTTGCTGACATAAAAGCAACTTGACTGTAGACACAGAAAAAAATAGTTTGGCTCAGAGCAAGGACAAGTTGACCGTAATTATTATTATTTTTGGTTTTTCGAGACAGGGTTTCTCTGTATAGCCCGGGCTGTCCTAGAACTCACTCTGTAGACCAGGCTGGCCTCGAATTCAGAATCCCAAGTGCTGGGATTAAAGGCGTGCGCCACCACCGCCTGGCCGGACCATAAATTTTCTAAGGCAGCTTCTTCTTAGAAATTCCCCATCTGCAGTCTTCACTCAAAACCCATCAAAACAGAGATCAGCCTGAACTGCTTGTTATGTCTTAACTACTAAAAAAAACTTGGGAAAGCCAACCACCCTGCAGCCCTCCCTGCATCCTTATGCTTTTTTTTTTTCTCGCTATATAAGCTGGCCCCAGAAAATGTTCAAGGTTGTAGCTTACAGCTCCAGGATCTGAGTAATCAAGAGTCTTGGGGTGTGTGTTCAGTAAACCAGCCCTGTTTAACTGAGATAGGTTTCTGAGCGGTTTGTGCAGCGATTCCCGAACCCTGACAGACTTCTGGGCTAAAAAATCAAACCCTTCCGACAAACATCAGATGGACAATAATATGTGTTAGACACTAGTCTAGCGATCTAGGAATAGCAGGAAACGAGATAAAGCTTGTTGGCTCCAGAGAACTGGCTGACATTCTTGTAGTGGAGACAATATTGGGTACCTCAACCTGTGATGTGCCACAGAAAACGGGTTAAGGAGAAAAATAAACCAGGAGATGAACAGGGAGAATGACGTGTCTACACATCCCTCTCACCCTTCCACTCACATCGCGGTAGTGAACTACCTAAACCAGCACCTTGACAGCAGAAGCTCCAGACTCCAAAGCCCGATCGAGCCCCGCCCCCAGAGCCACGCCCCATGCTTGCGCTCACGTGTCGAAGCTCCCAGGCCGGTCGTCCGTGCCCAGGCGCCCCGCTGTACTTAGGTGTAGCTGTCCCACCCCGGCCAGCCTTGCCCAGTCAGCAGTAGCACATAAGTCTGGGCCGAAAGCCGTCCCGCCCCCCGTGGAATCCGTCCGCCTCACGGCATCCCACGGAGGAGCAACACTGCAACATGGGATGGGGAGGACGCATGCGTACAAGATGCTCCTCGTGCTACGGCGGCTACGCCCCAATCACGGGACGGAGGGCGGCTGATTACAACCTTCGCCATCCTAATTAATCCCCACCATTTGCAAAGGCAAAGGTAGGGCGGGGGTGTTCGAGACCCCACGTCCACGGCTCTCTGGCTCCACCCTACCCCTACATCCGGGAGACTGGTACAGCTTGAATAATCTCCCGGGACTGTGGCAAAAGACAGGTTGAGGTCTTAGCCTCGTAAAAGTTCAAAGCTGTGTGTCTACGAATAGAGAATGCACAGGCAAGGAGAGAAAAGCTGCAAGCCTCAGTAAGCAGTGAAATACGGGCCGTGGCCCCACCCTCCTTTAGCCCCGCCTCTTCGCTCCCATTGGTCAATGAGCTCGCCCGGCAGCCTCGCGATTGGCCAGCCGGGTTGCCGACTCCGTCCAATGGGCGGCGGCGCCGGCTTTCCCGCGGCCATTCGCTGTTTGAGTGCTGGCTCCGGGCGGCTGTTAAGCGTAACGGACGCTGGTCTCCGACAGCATGATGGCTGCGTTAGCGGCCGGAGGTTACGCGCGGAGTGACACGATAGAAAAGCTGTCCTCTGTCATGGCGGGAGTTCCGGCGCGGAGAAACCAGTCCTCCCCTCCTCCTGCCCCACCGCTCTGCCTCCGGCGGCGGACGCGACTCGCGGCGGCTCCCGAGGACACTGTGCAGAACCGGGTGAGAGGCTGGTCGCCCTGTTTACCCAACTCCGGGCTTCTCTGTGCCCCCTGGGTCCCGCCTCGGGGCCTCGGTCCCTCCCGTCACTTCTGGTTCCCGCAGGCGGCTTCCCAGGCTCTCCTGGTCCGGAAGCCCCGCCCCCTTGGCAAAGGTTTTTCCCTCTTGGTTCGTCCTGGCTTCTGCGTTTGGTACCGCCCATTTTCCTGGCCCCACCCAGAGTTGTCACATTGCTTTATTTTTAGTTTTAACTCCCGGGAAATGTTTTGCATTTACAGATCATCCCTAGTCTCACTTTACTGTTCAGTGACCTAAGACACTTAACCATTTCATTCCAGTGTTTCTTTGATTTTATTGGAATAGGGCTAAGGCCCAAAACGCGAGTGCCATAGCCGGGTCTGGGGGGCTGTTAGCTCTTGCCCCGCCTCCTCTGTGGCGCCTCAGGGTAAGGTGTGCTCTTCCAGGCCCCTGTTTTGTTAACATTTCCCTGTTGGACCGGAAAGTCTCAGCTCTGGGACACGCAGTGCACAGAGACACGGAGACCGAGATTGATGCAATCAGCAAGAGGAATCTTTATTCCGACGCATCGGGGTCACTTCACTCTCCAAGGAGGAAGGACCCTGAATTTCTGAAGCACACGCCTTTTATACTTTAGCATAGGCAGACTTAAGCAACAGCAAGACTTGTCTAAACCTAATTGGACACTTTGTTTAGCCTTTAAACTTACTGGCCACACTCAGGCAATTATTTCTGGTGGGCTGTGTTTATCCAGGGTTGTGAAGGACACAGCTGGTCACTAATCAGTACACTGTGCAGTTTTTCTCCGAGTTGTTTTTTAACTCTCTCCCTGCTATCAGGAACAGCCTGACCAGCGGGATGGTTGTGTCTCTAAATGCCCTTTCTGTTCCCTTGGTTGGTGTGGCGAATTTGTCAGGGTGGTCTCACATTTCCCCCTTTTTCTTGTGACTATTTCAGTCTTGAAATGGGATCTCTTCTTGTCTAAGGGAATGATATTGTTGTAACATCATAACTTGTACTGTATTAATGTGATCTTTAGTGAAAACAACCAACTTATTTAAAATACAAGGCCCAATAAGTAAAATAAATCAACAGGGGCCCAATTAAAGTAAAAAGGTGATAAACCAGGGGGAGGAATTAAACCAGGATTTAAACCAACTTTGAGCTCTCTCGCTCTCTCTCTCTCTCTCTCTCTCTCTCTCAGCTAGTCTCTTCAGTATCTTTGTCATTGTATCTTTAACTATCTTTTCTCACCCCCTAAATGGTCTCTAGTATGTACTTCTCAATTTTTTACACCCTTAGATAGCACAGAAAAAGTAGGTGGGCTTGTTGTCGGCTTTTCTCATCTCAGGGGCACACATGTATGGGGCTTCCCATAGGACACTCTTTAACTTTGGGTGTGCGCACCCTAAGCCCCACCCTCTAAGGCTGTTTCTGGGACACGGTTTAGATGCAAAAGTCTGTTATTCCTGACATTTTGGTAACCTCCACCCCTATGTCTCTAGGGTGAGGATATCCCAGGAGTCAAGGCCTGCTGCTAACTTACAGGGATCAAAGACAAGGTCTTGGCTGTCTGACACATGGCGGCCTTTTACTGTAGTGGACCAAGCCACATCTCCAGTGGCTGAGAGTACTTGTCAAGTCACTTTGGTAAGGTTATGGGGGGTGCTGAGGCTCAGCGCAGGAGGGAAGATACACAGTAGCCATCTAATGGTTTCTTTGGCCTTGTAGAATGGCAGGTGATCTTGAGCTTGAGGGGGTGCTCAGGTGTCTGGCTGCTCTACAGTCAGCATCAGATGCAGGTGCTGGTCTGAGTTACGTGAAGTCAGGCAGTTACTCCATCTACTTCAGTGGAGGTCGGCATGGTCAACAGCACCAGGAACGGCCCTTTCCACTTTGCTTACTTGTGTGGAACCTCTAGAGTACCTGAGTTATACAGGGCACTAAGTGTAGCCCACAGTTCCTGGTGGCTGATCTGGAAAGCTTACAACTGAGCCATAAGATCCTTATCAGCTGAAAAGTCATTTCTGGGGGATGAGTCAAGAGCTGGAATCAAGGGAGTGGGGGTCCCACACAGGAGAGGTGCTCCAGGCTCAGATCAGGGGCAGGACAAGGGGCACCACCCAGCCAGCACCAGTTTCCGAGAGCAATTTAGTTAAGGTCTCTTTTTAGAGTTCTGTTCATTTTCTCTACCTGCCCTGGGCTCTGGGAACTGTATAAACAATGGACCTTTTAATTAGTCCCCAATATCTCTGACAATCCCTGACTTACCTTAGAAACAGAAGCAAGACCTTTATCTGATCTGATTACCTTGAGCACTCGAAACCTTGGGAAGATTTCTTCTAATGTCTTCTTGGCTACCACAGTAGCTGTTTTTTGTTTGGTGGGGAAAGCCCCAATCCATCTAGAGATAATATTTACAAATATTAGAGGGTATCTATATTTTTCTGGCTTGACTTCTACAAAATCGGCTTTCTAATATACTCTAGGCTGTTCTTCTCTAGGTATTTTGTCCTATTTTCTCTTGGCCACATAAGCATTTGCTTGCTGGCATACCTTACACTGTTTTATTTTTCTGGCCCAAAACCTGAGGTCTATTATATATCTGAGATCCCTTGACTGCTCGGATGCACTTATCTCTGAAATGAGTCTATCTGTGCATTTGGCCTAGTAAGTCTTTTGCTTATTTTTCGGGGAGCATAGTTTTTCCTTTTTGTGTTCACCATTGTCCTTTTTTCTCTAGGTAATACTTGGTAGGGTGGCTAGCAATCTGAGTCCTTTTTTCTTCCATGTATTTTAAGTGAGGCCATCTCTTAATCTAGTCCCATTCTCCAGTGGGTGTCTCTTGTAGGCCCATAACTGAGACAGGCTCCTGCATAGCCACTTCTTGAGCCACTTGATCTGTCTGGTTATTGTCTCGAACTACTGAGTCTCTTCCTTTCTGGTGTCCTGGGCAACGAATAGTATTCACAGTTGTCGGCTTCATCAGGGCATCTAAGAGATCTAAGATTTCTTCTGATGCAAGTAGTTCTCTCTCTTGGTACATAGCCCTGTGGACTTGGGCTGTGGCAAAGGCATACCTGCTGTCCGTGTATATGTTAATTTTTTTGTCATCCCCAAGTTCTAAAGCTGCTTTCTGCACTGATGTGTTCGGGTGATGGGAGTAGAAGTTCAGTCCAGATGACATTTGTGCCATCCACCACAGCAGCACCAGCTTGTCTCTGACCAGCATGGAGAAAACTGCTCCCGTCTGTAAAGCAGGTTGTCTCTGCTCCCGGCAGGGGTTGGTAGGAGAAGTCTTTTCTCCACCCATGGGCTCTCCTTTTGGGCCAGTTAGTTGCAGCCCATCGGGCAGGAAGTGTATCTGGGCCCCCATCCTGGAGAGTAAGTCTCGCCCCAACAGAGGGTAGGGGCAGTCTGGCATGACCATAAATGAATGGGATACCTAGCCCATCTCTGGGTCCGCCATTCTTCAGGTAGCCCATGAATACATTTTGATGTCAGTGGCTCTTTTACTTGTAATGTGCACACTGGTCCTTTTCAAGGAGTTTTTTATCTCTCTTCAACTGGAGTCTCCCTTTTCTGCTTTCCCTAACAACTGTAGCCAAGATTCTCTGTAAATTCTTCTTCTGTTACCTTTTTTCTTAATCTCTCTTTTATCTTTCTTTTTTTTTTCCTCTGTCTACCTGTTATGGTAGACTTCCTCAACAACCTATACTAAATCTTTTAATGACTTATCTTTTTTTTTTTTTTTTGAGTTAATGACTTATCTTGTAGTCCCTCTAGCCTCTGAAGCTTTTTCCTGGTATCTACTAGCCTGGTCTATAAAGGCCACAATGTGTACTGACAGAATGTCTCTGTGAGCCATTCATTCTAGAAAGGCTGTGAGCACCCCATCTGATCCTTTTTTAACCTCACATGCCTTGGTCAAAATTGGTGGGGCCTCATGTAGCCCCCTTGAGACCTGCCAATGGAATCTGGCGGTAGGCTTATAGGTGCCCCTTACCTTCTGTCACACTAAAGTCTCAATCAGATCTGGTCAGAAGAAACCTGCTGTCGACCACAGCCTAGTCAATCAATGGTGCCCTTGTGTCTGAGGGAAAATTCTTTTTTTCCAGTGTCCTCTCTTGCTCTTCAGTCCTGAAGAACACTCTTGACGGCCAGAACCTACAAGGGTCTTGGGGAAGAAAGGTTTTTTTTTTTTTCCTGTTTTATTTTACAGTTTCCTTATTCTTTGTGTATGTGTGTTTTGCCTCCATATTGTGTCTGTGTGTCACAGGGGTGCTTGCTGCTTCAGGAGTCCAGAAGAGGATCTCTTCTCGGAGCCTCTGGAACTGGAGTTACAGGTGGTTGTTAGATCCTCTGGATGAACAACAGGTGCACTGTAACTGCTGAGCCAGCTTTTCAACCCCCACTCCCTAGTGACACTTTAAGAGTGGTTCTCTAGTCATCGCCTGGACACACCGGTCTTTCTGTGAAGTGGAGATGACAGCCATACTGTGGAATCGAAGGGAGATGAGATTGTGACTGTGCCCTTGGCGCACACAGTTTCCAGATAAAGGATGGATCCGTGGCACCTTCTGGTGGCTCTTTCTCCCCTCTGGTGCCTCAGATAATGTCTCCCCAGACTTCTGGGTTCTAGGCCAGCCACCCTTGCCCACCAGGTCTCTCTGTTATGTAGCTCTGCCTATCCTGGAACTCTGTATGTAGACCAGGCTGGCCTTGGAACACAAAGATCCACTTGTCTCTGTCTTTCTAGTGCTGGGATTGAGGGCCTGGGCTACTGTACCCAGCGCTAGCTGATCTTTTTGGGTTACCTTCTCTGTTCTCCCTCTCCTTGAGGTCAACATGCTGGCCTGCTTTCTCTGTGCCTGAAGTTGCAAGTTCCTTCCTGCCTCCTGGATTTGCATCGGATGAGTCCTTGGTTTGGGTGTTTTGCTATACTCTTTCTCTGGCTCCTTCTCATCCCTCAAGTCTTAGCCTGAATACTGCTGTCCAGAGAAGTGTTCTTGGATCTCAGCCTAGAGACACCCCCTGTAACTCTCCCAGGGCCCTTCCATGCTCCTGAAAGTGCCTGGGTGTCCTTCCACCATATGTAGGAAGTGCCAGGAGCACAGAGAGAGAGGGTACGGTAAGGCAGTTTGAAGCATAGCCTCCAGACTCCACTGCTTGAATTTAAATATTAGTCCTGGTCCTTGTCGCAAGGTAGGAACTTTCCTGTGCCTCAGTTACCCTAGCTGTAAAGCAATAATGATGTAGAATCCCCCACAACATACATCTTATTATAACCCAAACTGCCCTTAAACTTCCACTCCTCCCATTTCCCAATGGAAATGGAATCACAGATGTGTGACGCCTTCCCTGGCCTCCTCATAGGTAATAAGTACATCATATCACCTGTGAGATTCTGTGGTTTCCCGGCTCTCAAGCCTCAGAACAACACCTGGCAGGCCCATTGCAGGTGCTCTGTTAGTGTCAGCACTGCTGTTACTGTGCTTTGTGTTATGTCATTTGTTTCTCATTTGAAAGCACATCCCAGAGATCATCTGGCTTGCAAAAGCTGTGCTCTAAAAATGTCCTGTTACACTAAAGCCCAGTGAAACTAAGTAACCCTGAGTGCTATGGCCTGATTGTCTGTGCCAGAATCCTGGCTGTTCCTCTTTCTAGACGGGTAGCTGCTCTGGAGCTTTGTTCGCTCATCTGAAGGGTGACAGTGGTGGTTGTATTTTAGGGCTGCCATGAGTGTTAAGGAGCCCCCTACTCAGAGGCCGAGCACAGTGTCTGATAAGAAATTAGTAACATTAGCACTTACATTCCTGTGTTTGCTTGTCAATTCTGAGGCTAGTGCCTGGACTTGAGAAGTGTGGTGAGAATTTTGGTTTTTTAAAAAACACAGCAGTGTTAGAGGAATAGCTTTGTTTTACTCCCCAGTGTGGGGTATGGGGGTGCTCCAGATTGTCCAAAGCAGCAGGGGCATAGTTTTGAGAGCTGCACCTGGTTTCTGGGAGTGTATGACATTCTGAATTCTGGTAACCTTTCAGAGCATACATAAATGCTAGAGCCCTGATGGAAGGGGCTGGTTGGCTAGTTGTTGGTTGGATGAAGTTGGTTGCTGCTGGTTGTGGTTGGTTGGCAGTTTGTCAAGCATTCCTGTCCAAAGAGACAAAAGGAAGAAATCAGATGTCCTGCCAATGAAGATCAAACTTGCCCCAAGGAACTTGACACCTCTAAAGATTTATTTATTTATTATATTTGAATACACTGTAGCTGTCTTCAGACACACCAGAAGAGGGCATCAGATCTCATTACAGATGGTTGTGAGCCACCATGTGGTTGCTGGGATTTGAACTCAGGACCTCTGGAAGTGCAGTCAGTTCTCTTAACCGCTGAGCCATCTCTCCAGCCCATGAACTTGACACCTCTAATCAGCAGGAAGTAGTCTGATAATACCTCCCTTCCCTTCTAACCCATTTCTTTCTCCTTCCTAGTGTTAGGGAGATGAAAGGGTGGAAGAAGAGAGGTGGAGTAGGGTGGAAGAAAGAACCCACAAAGTAGCAAAGGCCGGCTACTACAGAGAACGGTTTTCTCTACAGTAGTTAGAAACCAGTATATTCTAACAGTGCACATGAAAGTACCATAATTCTGTTAGTCTGTAGTTTCTTATTTATTGTTTTAGCAACCATGATGGAGTTCTGGCACATAAATTTTATTGTGAGATAAAAAAATATCTTTTAGCTGAGCATGGCAGTATAGGCCTTTCTTTAATTTGAGCACTCAGGAGGCAGAGGCAGGTCGAGCTCTGTGCATTTGTGTCCAGCCTGGTCTACATAGTGAGCTCCAGAACAGCCAGGACTACACAAATAGGCCTTGTTTCGAAATAGAAAAAAATTTGTTTTCCTTTTCTTTTTTTCAGTGCTGGAACTCAAACCCCAAGGCCTTATACATACTAGTCAAGCATTCTGTTATTGGGCTGTATCTTCAACCTGTTAAAACTTTTTTTTTTTAATTGTGACTTGTTTCTCTACTTGTTGGAAACTTGAGACTGAGTTTGATGAGGGAACAGTCTGCTTTTGCTCAGTGTTGTGTCTGCCCTGTGTGGCCTGAAGTGCTGGCCTTGGGACTGGAGTGTCTCGGTTTCCACTCCGCAGGTGCTGCTCTCCGGCGGCTGGACCCTCTGGCTTATCTGTAAATAAATGTGATGGTGACGCTTCCTTCTCCACAGATGGTCAGGATTCAGGTCTTTCCTCCACAGCATCCTTTGACACGTAGTCAGAGGTCACCTTGTCACCAGGCGTTCTCCGTCCCCTGCAGGCCCAGCTTCTTCGTGGCTAGCAGTTGTTCCTCTTGCAGCAGGCAGGGGAATGCTGTCAAAGGTCAGGTGCTAGTTGCTGGTAACCAGGATGACTTCAGAAGCTCAGATGGCGCGTGGAATGCAGCAACAATTAAGACTCGTGGCTGAGGGAGCCGGGCAGTGTGGGGCTGCTAGAACAGGTATTTTTCTGACAGCCCTTTTTTTTTTTTTTTTTTTTTTTTTGCAGGTAACACTTGAGAAGGTGCTTGGTATCACAGCTCAGAACAGCAGCGGGCTAACCTGTGACCCTAGCACAGGCCATGTGGCCTACTTAGCAGGGTAAGCACATGTGTGGGCTTCAGTGGCTGGTCACGGGTTAGGGATTTGGAGTTGACGTCACTGGAACATCTCTCTGAGCCTTGGCTTTCCCGTCTGTAGAAGGCTGCTCCTCATGAGGGCTGTGGAGGGGAGTCCACAGACCGATCTTGACAAGAGTCGTATGGGGCAAGGCAGTGCCTAGAAAGCTTTAATCAGATGTGAGGTGGTAGCAGTTAAGGGAAACTCAAGTGGCTAAAACCCAAATTTATGTCAAGCCCGTCTGCATATGCTCTTCTTAGGGCCTCTGCTTCTCCCTAGGAATACACTGCCATTTGGGTAGAGAGAACTGAAGGAGATCCAGATTAGTGCAGAGATACTTGTCTACCCCCGCACTGCTTAGGCAGTGAAAGAGCTTCTTCGCCTCCCCAGGGAGATAGGAGGGCCCGGTAGACTCATAGTAACAAACGGTATCTGTTAATGAGACCTTGAGGACAGTCTAAGATTGAGGACAAGCTGAGCTCTTAAATCCAGCGGGCACACATTCACGTCCCCACTCCATTTCTGACCTGCTGGGTGGCCTGTGCAAAGAACTGCCCATCTCTGGCCTTCAGTTCTCTAAATCAGATATAAATAAAGGAGACAGAAATCGCCCTGGCCTCACCTGACAACTGTGAGGATTTAAGACAGTGATAGCCGTAAGGTCTGTGTAGGCCTCGGGCCTGCCAGAACAGTCCCCACAAAGGAAGTGCTTGTTTTAGTTTAAGACTATATTAATATTGACAAGTGCCCAAGATTTCTCAGCATTAATATCTAGAGGAAGGGGAGGGCAGAAAGAGTATCTTCTGCTTGAAGAAGCCTTATAAAAGCTGGAGATGCGACCCAGTTGTAGAGCATTTGCCTAGCGTATTTAAGACCTTGGGTTTAGCCTCAGTACCATGAAAAAACAAAAGCTTCCTGGCACAGGCCCCAGAGGCAAGAGTTCGGAGCCAGCCTAGGCAACATGATGAGACAAAAACCAGCAACAAAACCAGAGGGCGCCTTATTGACACGTGGCTTTTTCTTTGGGGAGAGAATCGTCTCTGGGCCCAGTGCTTATCCAAAGCCCCAGTTTAGACTTGTTTTCTTCTTTTCCCCAGTTGTGTGGTGGTGGTCTTGAACCCCAAGGAGAACAAGCAGCAACATATATTTAATACTACCAGGTAGGCTGGGACTGGGCATGGGACAGGGTTGGGGGACCAGGGTGCTGGTTCAAATCCCCTTCCCCTCAGAGCCTGGAGGTGTTCATGGGTGGTGACTCACTCCCTCAGCCATGTTTACAGGACCTGCTTTGTGCTAAGTACTGTTCCAGGTGTCGATGACCTAGCAGTGAGCAGAGACAAGGACCTGCCTCTAGAGTTCTAGACAGCATGGGAGACAGACCACAAACCCACCCGCAGACTGCTGGCTGATTATGAGAGCAAAATGCCTGCAGGGGGGCGGGGTGAGGAAAGAGAACAGGGAAGCTGCATCAGAAGGCCTCCCTGAGTGCGAGACCAAGGAAGTAATGATACTCGTGTCCGGGACACTAGCAAGGGCAGAGGGGCAGCAGAGACGAAGAGTCAGGTAACAGTAGAGCAGGCATGGGCCTAAGTGCTGGGTGCAGGGGAGCAAGAAAGGGAAAGGGAAGCTCCAGCAGAAGCCGCCCCACCCCTTGCATCTTAGGGAGGGAGCTGGATGTCCTAAGGACTGGAAAGAGAAGTTACTAGCTGGCATACACAGGCCAGGGAGGACGGTAGATCACCTATGGGGTGGTCAGGCTCACATAGAAACCAGGTGGGTGCCACACGAGCCTGTAATTCCAGCACTTAGGGTACTGAGGCAGGAGGATTGTGAAGTAAGGCCTGAGCTATACAATGAGATCTTGTCTAAGAAAACCATAACAAAATGTGTAAAAACAGGATTGAAACGAAGGAGGAGCTAACGCTGTACAGTCTGGGCGTGGGCTTGCTTCCAAGTCCTGCCTGCCAGTCAGCCCGTGTTCATACTAGTTAAGAGTATTGGAGACTGGCCGAAGACAGCTCTGTGTGTAAAGTCCTGCTACGCAAGCCTGAGGACCTGAATCCAGTCCCCAGGACCCACATACATAGTTAGATACGGTGACATGGGCTTATATTCCTAGTATTAGAAAGGGAGAGAGACAGGGAATCCCTGGGGTCTCATTGGCCAGCCAGCCTAGCCTAACTGGTTGGCCCTACATCCTAGTGAGGGACCCTGTCCCAAGAAAATAAGGCAGATAGCGTCTGAGGAGCCACACTGAAGACGGACCTTTGGCCTCCGTGTGCATTCATGCACCACACCGAGTATTAGAAACAGTGCAGTTGTTGGGGATTTCTAGAACATTCAATGAGCTGTATCTGCGCCTTGTCTACCAGGGTCCACCCATGAACACCCCTCCTCTAGTTAGAGTAAACCTGTACCATTTCCTGCACCTGAGTTTCAGGGCTATGTCACAGGTGGATAAGGTCCTGGAAAGCTCACTCCACCTGGGGTAAGGAGGCAGAGCCTCCATTCTGGGTCTGTAGTGTTTGGGTTTGGTGTTGTGGAAGGAGAAGACCTTTGCTCCTGTCCATTCCCTGAGTGCCCTGCTGGACACACAGGCTACAGTGGCTGTGTAGAAGCTGCTGGCACTTGTCTCTCCAAGCCTTTCCCCGACCTGGGGGACCAGGAGAGGGTAGAATAGCGAGAGCACAGTGCTTGGCGGAATCAGTGACAACCCCTTTGCTTGTCCCCAGGAAGTCCCTGAGTGCTCTGGCCTTCTCCCCGGATGGGAAGTACATAGTGACAGGAGAGGTGAGTCTCAACTGAGCAGGTGGGAAAGGTGTGGGAACCATTCCTTCTGCTTCCAGCAGGCTCGGGAATCCCTGAATTGGCTCTTGGTTTTAGACAAGCCCCATGGCTCATAGGGGAGGTGGCTTTTGGGAACAAGTTACAGCAGTGCCAACTTCAGTGTAAACAGGCCTTCTACCCCGTCTGTGTCTCAGTCAGGGTTTTACTGCTGTGAACAGACACCGTGACCAAGGCAACTCTTGTGAGAAAAACATTTAATTGGGGTTGGCTTACAGGTTCAGAGGGTTAGTCCATTATCATCAAGGTGGGGGCAAGGCAGGCACGGTGCAGGAGGAGCTGAGAGTTCTACGTCTTTGTCTGAAGGCTGTTAAGAGAAGACTGGCTTCCTGGCAGCTAGGATGAGGGTCTTAAAGCTCACACCCACAGTGACACCTCTACCCTCACCTCCTAATGGTGCCACTCCCTGTGCCAAGCATGTACAAACCATCCCACACTGCCTTACACATAGTTCAGTGATAGTAATGGCTTCATCCGCCCCCACCCCACCCCCAGAATGGGCACCGGCCAGCTGTGCGCATCTGGGATGTGGAGGAGAAGACTCAGGTGGCGGAGATGCTGGGCCACAAGTACGGTGTGGCCTGTGTGGCCTTCTCCCCCAATATGAAGCATATCGTGTCCATGGGCTACCAGCATGACATGGTCCTCAACGTGTGGGACTGGAAGGTGAGGACCGAGTGGATGCGTGGGTGTGTGAGCGGGCAGGGAGTCATCAGCACCCAAAATCTTGGGCATTAGGGAGCACTGGCAGCCTTTGCCTGCTGTTGCACCATGCTTACAGTGAGGTTCCTGTCCCCGAGGTCAGCTGTGACAAGGTAGAGTTTGAGCCATCATGTCTGTGTTGGTATAGGGAACAGACGGGGATCCAAGCACCCACACGCAAGGTTATGACAGAAGCATTGTTTTTATATTGACTAGCTACAACCATAGACAAGTGCCTTGACTGTTTCTTCACCTAAAAATGGTTTTCCCAGCATCTGCCTCTCTGTGTGAGCTGCAGCTTCCTGACATGCGCTCTGAGGCCGGGCTTTGTCACAGCTGTAGCAGGACTTGAAGTCCTGAGTCTGCTTCTAGCCCACCGCAGCCCTCTGTGTGATGGGCATACTTCCAGCTGTTAGCATTTCCAATGCGTGGCTGTAGAGCTTGGCCCTTGGTGGGAGTTCTGAAACTTGCTCTTCCCTGGGACCTTTCTTTGTCGGCTCTTTGGGGAACTAGGAATGACCAGAGTTGCATACAGCTTTCCCTAGAGTTTAGCCCACTGCCAGGTCCAAGAACATGGGAGAGCGTGCAGGGAGAGCACGGGTGGGCGGTGCGTGAGCTGCTCTGTGCCCGCTCTTCCAGAAAGACATTGTGGTGGCTTCCAACAAGGTGTCGTGTAGAGTCATCGCCCTCTCCTTCTCTGAGGACAGCAGCTATTTTGTCACTGTTGGGAACCGGCATGTGAGGTTTTGGTTCTTGGAAGCCTCTACTGAGGCCAAGGTGAGTTCTTCCCCCATTCTGGTCAGGTCTCAGAGTCACCAGCAGCGTGCTTCCTGCGTCTACCTGAGACTTGGAGGCAGGGTCTCCCACCTAGCTTCTTGGGCATCCCGGTGCTGAGTAATAATCCTGCTGGACTCTGGCCCTAGGCCAGAGCTCACTGTTGGACCATTACCTTCTGGCCCCTCTGTCCCAAGTATGGGTTCTGCTTTTCTTCCTTCTCCTCCATGTGGAAGACTCTCTAAAGCCCCCCTTTTCAGCTGTGTCAGTAAAGAACCTACTATGACCCTGTTGAGGACATAGGCACGAGGCAAGGACATAGTCTCTAACCTATCCTGCTACACTTCCAGGTGACCAGCACAGTGCCCCTGGTAGGGCGCTCGGGCATCCTGGGTGAACTCCACAACAATATCTTTTGTGGTGTGGCCTGCGGCCGGGGCCGGATGGCAGGCAATACCTTCTGTGTGTCCTACTCTGGCCTCCTCTGCCAGTTCAATGAGAAGAGGGTGCTGGACAAGTGGATCAACCTGAAGGTACCCACCTCCCCTCTGCTGGCCGCCCACTGGGGGCTCTGCTTCCCTCTGTGTATGGAGGGGTGCCCCACTGTGCACCTGCTGATGATCTGGGGAGAGGCTGAGGTATTTTGTGTTTTCTCTGAGACAGGGTCCCCTTCATTGTGAAGTTCAGTCTGTCCCCAGGTTCACAATCCTCTTGCCTCAGCCTCCTGAGGGATTGCGGGTGTGCACCGCCATGCTTGGCTTCGTGTCAGTGGCTGACAGCACAGGTTTCGTGTGTGTGACTCTCCCTCTCTGAGCCTCAGCTGTTTCCTCATCTGTCAAAGCAAATACTGAGCCAGTCAGTGTGCCCGCCTCCAAGCCCAGCAACTGGAGACCCTCACTGGAAGGAGAGAGCTTGCTCCCACAGACTGTCCTCTCACTGTCACACGTGCCAATGTTGGGGCCAGAACATCCCTTCCTCCTACACAAATAAATAAATCAGGAAAAAATGTAAATGAAAATGCCAACTTCCTCAAAGTGGCCAAGGAAGTCACGGGAGATAATGTGCAGGAGTCTTTTTTTTCTTTTCTGTGTAGTTTAAGGGATGAGCCTACTAATTTTTTTTCTGTCAAAAAAGAAAAGCCTGTGCAAATCTGTAAAACCTTAGACTTAAAGGTCAGTGTTTTAATAAATTGCAGCGTTGGTTTTTTTCTCCCAGTACCTGAAAGTTGAGTCCACGCTGTGAACCCGCTCCAGGCTCTAAGCTCAGGTTCTCAACTGGCAGTGCACATCACATGGAAGCAGTGTGCTTTTTGCTCAGTTTCTGGGCTGGCCTCGGTCACTGTCCCCAGAACTTGTCTTAAGAGCTAACAGCATGTGGAAGTGTTCCAAATGTTATTTGTCTTCTAGGAACTTAGACATCATTTTAAAAATGATTTTATTTTTACTTGTGTATACGTGAGTTTGTGCAAATGAGTGTAGGTTCCTACAGAAGCCAGAAGAAGGTGTCAGAGCTCCTGGAGCTGGAGTTACAGTTGTGAACTGACCACTGTGGGTACTAGGGACCAAACTCTGGTCCTCTGTCACCCCATAACTGCAGGTGCCCATGGAGGCCAGCAGGTGGTGCAGGATGCAGGGGTGTTGGAGTTCCCGGTGGGCTTGAGCTGCAGACACTAGAGACCAGGCACCGGTCCTCTTCCAGAGCAGTCAGCACTTGTAACTCTTTTCAGCCACTGCATCTTTTTCTTATTTTTCTTTTAATCTTTTTTTTTCTAGAACTTAAACAACTTTAAAGCAACTTAAAAGCTATTTTGTTTGTTTGCTTCTGTTAAAACAAGGTTGGCCCTGGTTGGCCCCAAACTTGTGATCCTTTGACTTCAGTTTTTCTAGTCCAGTTGGTCAGCACCACTGTTGTTGTAAGGAAATCCCCTTTGTTGGTAAGGTTTGGTGTTGCACACCTTAATCCTAGCACTTGGGAGGCTGAGGCCAGAAGATAGCCAAAAATACCACTCTGTCTCAGGCTCCATGGTGAGACCTGTCTCAGAAAACAAACAAAACCATGAATAGCGCGCGCGCGCGTGCGCGCACACACACACACACACACACACACACACACACACACATACTTTAACCGAGCACTGAATGATTCATAAATTAAATCCCTATAGGAAACTGGAGTTTGTGTAGAGTCTGTCACTTACACCCCTTTTGTCTGTGTGTCTGGTCTAAACATCAGCCCAGATGCTACAAGTGACTCGCCACTGTCTGCTGCAGACGCACTTTTATCAGATTTCCTTCTTTTTATTGTCTGTGTTTGCTTGTTCTGCCCGCACGTGTGCATGTGCACCGCTTATGCGTCTGGTGCCTGCGGAGGTCAGATGAGGGAATTAGAGCCCCTGGAACTGGAGTGACAGGTGGCTGTGAGCCACCGTGTGCTGTGACTGGAACCCAGAGCCACTGCAAAGAGCAGCACGTGTTCTTACCTGCTGAGACATCTCTGCATCCCCAACAAATTTTTACACACGGTTAAGTTGTTCTGTGAATAACCATGCCAACTGTGCCCCAACCATGCCTCTGTCTGCGCACTGGCCCGTTGTCAGTGGTGACTGCTGCTGTATGTCAAAACCATATACAATGCCCTCAGGTCTCCTTGTCTTCCTGCCTGTGTGTCAGTGACGAGTTGATCTTCTGCGGATGCACAGACGGGATAGTCCGCATCTTCCAGGCCCACAGCCTACTCTACCTCACCAACCTGCCCAAACCGCACTACCTGGGAGTAGACGTGGCCCAGGGACTGGACTCCAGGTATGTCCTACACTGGGGGAAGAAGGGTCTATCCAGAATCTGTTGGGTGGCATCCATCCATGCTTTCACATCCGTCCACTGAGAGCTCATACCCAGTCTTGGCTCTGAGCATTGGTGTCATGTGTTTGTAAAAGACCTACTCCAGAGGCAAGCTTCAGGGTGAGGGGACACTCCTGCATCAGGGAAGAAGTGCTCAGAGCAGGAATGGTAACAAGCAAACGTGCTCCCCTGGGTTGTAACATCTATTAGGCAGCTACTCCGTGATAGCTCAAGTCTGGAAGCAGGGATCTGGGCCGGGAACGTCACTGCCAGCATCCATGCAGGCATCGTGGTTATCGTCTTTAATCCTGGTACTCAGGAGGCAAAGGCAGGTGGATCTCTGAATTAAAGGCCAGCCTGGTCTACAGAGTGAGATCCAGCCAGGGCTACACAGAGAAACCCTGCCTCCAAAACAAACAAACAAACAAACCCAAAAAACTGGCAGCAAAACCACTGCTCCAGGAAGCCTCCATGCAGGGAGGGAGCTCCATGGAAACAGTGTCAGCAGAGAGCTGTGACTTAGAAGTAGGCTAGGCGGGGCTGTGGCTACTAAGTAGCTGGAACAGGAAGCCAGTGGTGTCACTAATAGCGAGTATAAATGGTGCAGCATGGGCCGGACGGTGGTGGGGCACGCCTTTAATCCCAGCACTTGGGAGGCAGAGACAGGCGGATTTCTGAGTTCGAGGCCAGCCTGGTCTACAGAGCGAGTTCCAGGACAACCAGGGCTACACAGAGAAACCCTGTCTCAAAAAAACCAAAAAAAAAAAAAAAAAAAACGGTGCAGCATGTTGCAGAGTTAGCAAAGGGTTGGGGGTGACTGGGTGGCTGGAATGCTGACGGAGAACAGCTGGGTGGGCCTGTGTCTCTTCTGAGGTTCATGGGGCTAGCTGTAGGGAGTTGCATGGTAAGCCCTCGAATGCAGAATCCTATGAATGCCATGTCTGGAGTGGAGGGGAGGGCCAGCTTGCTGCCTGTCCCCTTTGTTGCAAGTCTTTTGTGGGAAGTAGCCCGTGTATCTAATCATGATGGGCTGCCTCTTTGGAGATTGTTAGCTCCAAGGACAGCAACTTCTCCAAGAGAAAGCTGTGAGGGAATAGCTGGGTGTGGAAAGAGGAGAGAAGGAAAGTGAGCAAGCTACAGATCCTGGCATATTGCAGTAGCCAGACTGCCTAGCTCCCCCTCCCACACTGTGCTGTGCCGCCATACCATCAGTGTGCCCCTCTGAGCTCGCATCTGTAAAACAAAGCTGCTTTTCCTGGGGGAATTAAGTGGCACACAACAAGTACTGCAGCCTTTGTAGGAGACCCAAGGCCTCAAGACTGTGCCTCAGCCCTTTGCACTGCTGCTTTGGATCCGTTATTAATGAGGCAGAGAAGAGAGGAGGCCTGGGGGATATGTTTCTTTTCCCTCTGGACAGAAATGGACAGGATCTCGGGTTGGATGGAATGGGGAGAGAATGATAATCAGTAATACAGCCGGCCATTGTGGCATGTGCCTGTAACATCTTTGTGAGTTCAAGGCCACCCTTGTTCAACTCACACCCACAGGCCATCAAAGGGAGTACCAGGCTAGCTGTGGAGTGAGTCCTATGTCAACTAAAGAGACTGAAGAAATGGCTCAGTGATTAAGATGACTTGCTGTTCTGCCCAAGGACCTGAGTTCTGTTCCCAGCACCCACGTATGAGTACCAAGCGTACATGTGATACAGACATTTTTTTCTCCTCCTCTTCTTCCTCCTCTTCTTCCTCCTTCTCCTCCTCCTCTTCTTCCTCCTCCTCTTCTTCCTCCTTCTCTTCTTTCTCCTCCTCCTCCTCTTCTTTATCCTCCTCCTCTTCCTCCTCTTCTTACTCCTCCTCCTCTTCTTCCTCCTCTTCTTCCTCCTCCTCTTCCTCCTCCTCTTCCTCTTCCTCCTCCTCCTCCTCCTCCTCCTCCTCCTCCTCCTCTTCCTCTTCCTCCACTTCTTCTTAGAGGCTTTCTCTGTGTGGCCCTAGCTATCCTTGAACTCTATAGACTAGGTTAGCCTGAAAATCAGAGATCTGCCTGCCCCTGCCTCCCAGTGGTAGGATCAAAGGTATGCCCAGCACACCTGGCTTCATGCTGTCAGTGTTGTCATTGGTGTGTAAATTGCAGGTAGCAGATGCTGTTGATCATCCCACCATTGGTGACCATCAAGGTTGTGGTCCTTGCACAACTGCAGACTACAGTGGGTGCCACCATTTTCATGGTCTGAAGCTGCATGCTTATGTAATTTCTCATTTGTACTTTCATTCCTTTCTTTCTTTTTTTTCTTTTTTTGTTTTTTTGTTTTTGTTTTTCGAGACAGGGTTTCTCTGTGTAGTCCTGGCTGTCCTGGAACTCACTCTGTAGACCAGGCTGGCCTCGAACTCAGAAATCCGCCTGCCTCTGCCTCCCAAGTGCTGGGATTAAAGGCGTGTGCCACCACCGCCCGACTGTACTTTCATTTCTAATGTAGCAATAAATAATAAATATAGTCAGTTTCAGGAAGATGAATGTGCTCTCTGAGCCAGACAGGCACTTTGGGTTTGCAACTTATATTAGAAGCAAAAGAAAAGAAAAGAGGACAAAGAAGTGGGATTGGAGTAGGAAGATGGCCTGACACAAAGACACGGGTGGCTGAGTGCTGCTGAGGGGACTGACCCGTGTGGCTGACTGCTGCTGAGGGGACTGACCCGTGTGCCTTTGGTAGCTTCCTCTTCCACAGAAAAGCAGAAGCAGTCTACCCAGATACAGTGGCCCTGACCTTTGACCCCATCCACCAGTGGCTATCCTGTGTTTACAAAGACCACAGTATCTACATCTGGGATGTCAAGGACATTAATGAAGTCACTAAGATATGGTCAGAGCTCTTCCACAGCTCCTTTGTCTGGAATGTAGAGGTAAGACCTCTTTCCCTTTTCTCTGTCCAGCTCTATCCCCTTTGGGCTCAGCGTGTGTATTCTCCATAGAGCTTAGAGAACTCTCTTAGCCATTGTGTTAAGACACAAGCTGAGCTGGGTTTGTTGACACACCTGTAATCCCCACACTTGAGATGTAGAGGCAGGTGGATTGGGAGTTCAAGAACATCCTTGGCTGTACAGAATATTCAAGGCCAACCTGGGATACATCGGAACCTATCTCAAAGAAAAGAAAAACTCGGACAGGGTTGGTGGCCCACACATGCTTTTTTAATCCCAGTGTTCTGAATGCAGAGCCTGCCAGATCCCTCTAAGTTTAAGGCCATAGCAAGTTCCAGGCCAGCAAATCCCAGGGCTGTACCGAAAGTGAGACCCTGTAATAAAGAGAACAAGTGAAAGGAAAGAAGGTAGGCCGAAAGCTCTGTGGAGACTGGGGAGCTGGCTCAGTGGTGAGAGTATGTGCTGCTCTTGAAAGTACTGGGTGTGGTTGCGGCTCGTGACGGCCTCAGCCACAGTTTCAGGAGATCCCCCTCTCCTGGCCTTAGTTGGCGTTACATGCACACAGTGTACATGCATGCAGACAATATTCACACATAAAGAGAGAGCTGTGCACAGCTAACCGTCTGTTAGCAGGTATTAAGCTTCAGTGTGCAGGTCCATTTCGTAGTTGAAGGGTTCACTATGGGCTATCCTCATGCTATCAGTTCAAAAGCTGGCCCGCTCACGTGGATGGGGAGTTCTTTTTCTGTAGCATTTGGTCACTTGGTGCATTGGATGCAGTGACGGCCAGCTGATGCTTGATTATTTTTTCTTTTTTTTTTTTTTTTTTTGTTTCTTTTCTTTTTTTTGGTTTTTCGAGACAGGGTTTCTCTGTATAGCCCTGGCTGTCCTGGAACTCACTCTGTAGACCAGGCTGGCCTTAAACTCAGAAATCCACCTGCCTCTGCCTCCCAAGTGCTGGGATTAAAGGCGTGCGTCACTGCTCCTGCCTTGTGTTCTTGAGAACAGGATCTTGTCATGTAGTCCTCAAATTTTTTTTTTTCCTGATTGCGACAAGGATTCTTGAAGCCCAGGGTAGTTTTGAACTTAGTATGTAGGTAAGTCTGAAGTGAACTTCTGATCTTCCTCCTCAAGTCCCAGCTAGGCATAGCTCAGCACCATTTGAAGCTTTAGCTCGGTTTCCACCCAGATGTCACAGTCCATCAGCTGTCATCGCAGTGTTGCCTTGTTCCCTGGGTCTGTAGGTGTATCCTGAATTTGAAGACCACAGAGCTTGCCTGCCATCCGGGACTTTTCTGACTTGTTCCTCAGACAATACCATCCGCTTCTGGAATATGGATAGCGGCTCTAACACTCAATGGAGGAAAAACATCTTCAGCGATGTGAGTGGCTTCTCTGCACTCTGGTTTCTGGGAATGTGCTGACTTCCCTGTGGAACAGGGGCATTAGGCCTCCCTAGGGACAGGACTTGGGCACTCTTGTCCCTTCTTGTTTCTCTCTGTTCCTCCCTCCCTTACTGTGCTCCGTGGCATGATCTCTCTTCTTTCTTTCCACCTGGCTTCTGCTGTTCAAGTGTGCGTGTGTGTGTGTGTGTCTGTGTGTGTGTGCACGCATCTGTGTCTGGATCCTCTCCTGGCAGCCCAACTAGACACAATCGTCCTTCCAAGTCTTGAGTAGCAACTCAAGGAGAGCACAGTGGGCAGAACCACTCGTCTTCTAAGTGGCTGTCACACAGGGGGGGACCCTCAGCTGGTGTGCTAGATGGAGCATAGGAAGAGGCCTGGTGGAGGCCGGAGAGAAACAGTTTGCTGAAGAAGTTTGGGTCAGTACTGCTAGGTCAGCAAGGGACCTTTTCTGGGGAGCTGATAACTGAATCATTTCTTTATTTTACGATTTGCTAAAAGACTCTTCTGCCATTGTGACACTTTCAAGTCTATAGTGGAAAACAGACAGTGGTTCAATAATTTCAAGTCAGATGCAAACACAACTGCTGGGAGCACCATAGAATAAGGGGACAGGATGCTAATATACTTTGTAACCCCGTCACACTGTCCCAAGAGTCCAGCCAGCAGAAGTATCTTCTTCTGGAAGAAAACACTTTGGCCACAGTATGGAGGGGTGGGGTGAAAGGAGGGGGGAACAGACTCCATACCTGGGGGAGAGCCTATGCAAAGGCCCTGAGGTAACATAAAGCTTGTCGAATGGAAAAACCTCGAGGGTCAGTGTGGCGGCAGTGATGCCGCAATGCATGACAACTGCCCCTTCCCCAGCCAGCAGCATGCTCCGCATGGTAGACAGCACGAGACGTGCCAGGCATGGTGTCAGACACTTAGAAACCCAGTGTTTGGGAAGTAGAGGCAGGAGGATCAGAAGTTTGAGGCCAGCCTGGGCTACATGAGTCCCTGTCTTTAAAAAAAAGTAACAACAGAAAAAGAACACCTTAAAATTCTTGTGATAGTGTGGTTTTCTCATGCATAAAAAGGGTGTGGGGACTGGAGAGATGATGCAGCAGTTAAGAACACTTGTCGCTCTTGCGGAGGACCTGGGTTCAGTTCCCAGCAGACTGTGGCAGCTTACAACCAGTTAACTCCAGTCCCAGAGTATCCACAGACTGATTCCGGCCTCCTAGATAGAGCACACGCGTGGTCCACAGACATGCAGGCAGGCAGAGCCCTCACACAGTTTTTCAAAAGGTCTGGAGGCAGCTTCTCCAGCTCCAGGAAGCTCTTAGAGACTCGGGGGTCCTCCGTCTCCCCATTCTGTCATGTGAGGAGATAGTGGTCACCCTCATGCAGCCAGATGGGACAAGGCCCCCTAAGCGTTCTCAGTGCCACTTGAGTTGTGTCACTCAGGAAGGTGTGTGCTGTGGGAGCACTGAGCACGGAGCTGCTGTAAGCTCCTTGCAGAACTGACCATAGCCTCTCTTCCCCCAGTCTCTGCTGAAGGTGGTCTATGTGGAGAATGACGTCCAACATCTGCAGGACATGTCTCACTTCCCAGACCGAGGCAGTGAGAACGGGACTCCCATGGATATGAAGGCTGGGGTTCGAGTCATGCAGGTCAGTCCTGATGGCCAACACTTGGCTTCAGGCGACCGCAGTGGAAATCTGAGGCAAGTGGCCCTGATGGCGGCTGGTGTTCACCTCCTGGCCCCAGCTTGGGGTCTCAGGGCACTGGGGAGGAGTTCTGATCTTGGCACCTCAGCTGCTGGTTGGGAATAAGGGACCATGGGTACTAATCCAGTTACCAGCAGCACCCCAGAACTTCAACTGGGAGGGGCTTCCTCAAGGTCTGGAGTCATAGTAGCTGCCAGGACCTCAGCAGCTTCATGGAACAGCTTCCTCACTGACTGGGGAGATTTATGAAACACATGCATTGGGTACAGAAACTTAAAGGTGAGTGGGAGGAGCCAGCTGTAAGGGGCTGGGCACTGAGAGGGTTCAGCGTAGGAGAACACCCAAAGCTCAGCTGCTCTCCCCACCCCACAAGGTGGTTCGTTACTTTTATTTGGTTGTTTTTTGTTACTGTTGTTTTGTGTGTCTCGTGTGGTGTGTGTGTGTGTGTGTGTGTGTGTGTGTGTGTGTGTCTGGAAGAAGTTAAAAGGATGCCAGATCACCTGGAACTTAAGTTACTTGTGAATCGCCTAACAAAGTCAGTCCTGTGGGAGAGCAGCCAGTGCTCGTAACGACAGTCATCTCTCCAGCCCCTGGTGTGGTTTGTTAAAACAGTGTTGTATAGCCAGGATGGCCTTAACCTCCTGATTCTCCTGTTTCTACCTCCTGAGTTCTGGGATTACACATGCGCACTACCATGTCCAGCTTTGTTGTCATTGTTATTCTATGTATCCATGGCTGTGTGGGTGTGCGTGCTTGCACGTTCCTCTATGGAGGCTAGAAGTCAAGGCTGGACCTCCGCTTCTGTCACTGTCATACTTACTATCTTCTGAGGAAGATTTCTCCATGACCCTGAAGCTCACCGGTTTGGCCAGACTGGCTGGCCAGCAAGCCTCAGGGATCCCCGTGTGTCTGCTCCCAAGTGCTGGAGTTACAGGCACATTCTGCTGTACTTAGCTTTTTACATGGGTGTTGGGGATCCAAACTTAGATCCTCACACTCACACAGCTATCTCCGCACTCTGTCTCAGTTATTGAGACTGGGTTTCATACTGTAGGCATCTCAGAATGGCCTAGAACTTATCATGCAGCCCAGTTCTGTCTTCAGCTTGTCTGTCCTCCTGCCTCAGCCTTTGGGGTGTTAGCATTGTGGGATAGACATGAGCAGCCATCTGGGTTCAAGGTGGTATGTGGCAGCTATGGCCATGTGAGTCTGAAAGAAAGAAGCAAATGTGGAGGAGACTGCAAAGCATGTGTCTTCACAACGGCACAGCTAGCTACCATGGGGTGACTGGTGAATTGCTTCTAATTTATCTGTTTATTGCATGTGCATGTGTGCATGCACGCACATGTGCATGTTATACTGTAAGTGTGAAACTCAGAAGACAGCCTTTGAGGGTCAGCTCTTCCAGTGTGGCTCCTGGAGATTCCAGTCATTAGTCTTGACAGCAGTCACCCTCACCCACCATCTCTTTAGCACTAGTATGGTTTTGGTCTTTGTTTGTTTCATTTTTCCTGTGAAGTTCTGTGATTTTGAGATATTGGCAGTGTGATATCAGTCACTTCATTGAGTGAGAGGAGTGTGTCATTAAGCTCCTCTTGGTGACAGCTCTCCCTTGAACAGCAAACAGCAGAAGGTGCTAACATGGGTGAACACTATTGCCCCCTGCCTTGTGATGGCTGGGCACTGTGATACCACTGACTTAGTCCTCTAAGCCGATGTGTGTAAGCCCTGGTTTGCCTTTTAAACAACTCACACGGCAGACAGTAGAGGAGCTGTGGCAGCAAAAATGAACAAAGCCTACATTTGAGGAAGTTTAAGAATGAGGGACGAGCTGGGCAGTGGTGGCGCACGCCTTTAGTCCCAGCACTTGGGAGGCAGAGGCAGGTGGATTTCTGAGTTTGAGGCCAGCCTGGTCTACAGAGTGAGTTCCAGGACAGCCAAGGCTATACAGCCTGTCTCGAAAAAACAACAACAACAACAAAAAAAAGAATGAGGGATGAGCCAAATGTGGTGGTGATACCTTTAATCCTCCCACTCAGGAGACAGAGGCTAGCCTAGTATACAGAGCAAGTTCTAGGACATCCAGGGCTACGTAGAGAAACCCTGTCTTTAAAAAGAAAAGGATAAAAAAGAATGGAAAATGAACAAAGCATAATGGTACATTCTGCCTCTAAAGCTGGAGGAGGCTCAGTGATGGGTGCTTCCTGCTCTCACAGAGGACCATGGCAGACAGCTCGTGACTGCCAGACTTTAACTGCAGCTCACACGCACACGCACACACACACACACACACACACACAAAGATGCACACACATATATTTTAAAAGTAGGCATATAGTCGGGCAGTGGTGGCGCACGCCTTTAATCCCAGCACTTGGGAGGCAGAGGCAGGCGGATTTCTGAGTTCAAGGCCAGCCTGGTCTACAGAGTGAGTTCCAGGACAGCCAGGGCTACACGGAGAAACCCTGTCTCGAAAAACAAAAAACAAACAAACAAAAAAAAAACAAATGGCTTTTGCTACAGAGGAGTGTCCTCAACCCCTGGGCTGTATTTTGGCCTGTGAACTACAGAGGCCAGGCCTGTGGCCTCCTTGGCGCCTCCCCGCTCCCTTTACCACAGCCGTGTTCTGGATGGAGCCGTGGGTGGGCATCTCAGAGTACTTGACACAGTAAGACTGCAGTGCTGGCCTAGAGTCAGGCCAGGGTACAGTCGGCAGTGTGTGTGTCCTAGGATCCACGAGCTGCACTTCATGGATGAGCTGATCAAGGTGGAGGCCCACGACGCCGAGGTGCTGTGCCTGGAGTACTCCAAGCCTGAGACAGGTGAGCCCACAGCACGCTGAGCTCAGGCGGGCAGAGCCCGAGAGCAACAGCTGGGGGAGTCTTCGGTTCAGTCAGAGCCCTGCTGCTAGACTCTAGACCACATGAGCTTGGACACCACAGATTCCACAAAGTAAGACAGCTGAAGGCAAGGGCTGGTCCCAGAAGCTCATCGAGGTCCCAATGAAGGTGTGTGAGTGAGGATGTGAGGAAGCCCATCGTCTGCTGGATGGACAGACTGCAAGGCAGGCCTTTTAGAAAGCTGAATGGCTACCAAAAAGTTGCAAGGATATTATAGCAAATACATGCAGCCCCTCATCTCGATCCAGGATTTTCTTCTAAATGTAGTCTAACCCTGTGACTGTGTGTGACGCCCTCTGCTTTTCTCTCTTTGTTCTGTGTGGGTGTGCTACATGCAGATCAAAATAAGAGCATGCACGTTTTGGTTTTTTGTTGGGTGATGTGAAGGTTCAGACAGAATGTCTCCTGACCCTCCACTACCCTCAGGAGAAGACCACCTCCGTTTACAGGACTGTGTGCTAGGCATGTAGTTCAGTCCTAGAGCATTACAGTATCATTATAAACGTCCTGGGTCTCATCTTGGTCATATGTATCCATATATGTACATGTGTGTATATCTATTTCTATGCACACATATGAAACACTGTGTATATGTGTATTTTACTTTGATGCCATGATGTTATTTACACAGTGGTTCTTACTCAGATGCTGCCAGTTCCTCAGTATTGTCTCTCAAGGAACCCTTGTTTCTAACCTGGGGTCACGTGTCTTAGCTATCTTGTTTTATTATTGTCTTTATTCTGGAGTACTGACCCACTCTTAACTCGGTATTTGGACTTTGGCTTTCTGCAGAGTACAGGCCAGTCATGTAGAAGTCCCTCAGTTTGGAGTTTGTCTGTTTTCTTCATCTTTGTTTGAGATAAGACCCTTTTGGAATATCCTGTATTGAGTTGCTTGTGTGCTGCTATAATGAAATACCATGACCAAAGACAGTGTCTAGAAGAGAGAATTTTTTCTACCTCGTGCTTCCAGAGGGATAGAGCCCAGTAATGTCAGGGGAGGATGGCATGTGACGAGAACAGGAAATCAGCTGATGATTTTATCTGCACACAGGAAGCAGAGAGCAGGAAGTAGGGTGAGCCTGTAAATCCTCACAGTTGGTCCCCAGTGACTGACACACTCAGCAACAAGGCTCAGGCCCTGGAAGTCCCAGTACCTCTCCATACAGGAGGATCAGCTGTTCAGCTACGATGCCGCTGGGGGCATTTCCCATTCAGATCACCACATCCTCCAGTCTAGGTGGAGTTACACCCTGCTGAGAGAGACATGGTGATTTTCTTTTTCTTTCTTTTTTTTTATTTTTTATTTTTTTATTTTATTTATATGAGTACACTGTTGTTATCTTCAGACACACCAGAAGAGGGCATCGAATCCCATTAGAGATGGTTGTGAGCCAGCATGTGGTTGCTGGGAATTGAACTCAGGACCTCTGGAAGAGCAGTCAGTGCCATCCCTCCAGCCCAGCATGGTGATTTTCTATACCAGCCTTCTTTCTTTCATCCTTCCACACTCTGCCCGTCAGATTCTCAGTGTCTCTTTCCTGAGCTAGCCGAGCTTTAGGCTGTGTTATTAAAACTCTACTCCACTAGGTGACCAGAGCAGGCTTAGACTGAGGGCCAACAAGAGGGAGGAGGCCCAATGAAAGGATTGGCTGAAAGTGGTCAGCAAGGCCTGCCTGGGGTCTCAGTAGCCAAGACTCAGAGCTGGGACATGGTTTGAAGTGAGGCTAAGAGAACACCTGGGCTTCCCATGGCACTCCACAGTAGGACTCCCCAGTGTGCTGTGGTGTGCTGAGTGCTTACCTCAGATAACTGTGCTGCACACACACAAGATTTGCCTTTTCCAAACTGGTGATAAGGGCATGGGGGCTCTGAGAAAAGACTGCCCAGAGCCCAGGGCTTGGCCTTTCTTGGTTTGGGGCAGCTTAGCTGCAGCTCTGGAACCGAAGACCCCTTCTCCAAGCATTGGACATCTCAGTCACCTGTTTATCTGGGAAGTAGAAGCATCTAGCCATTGTTAGCCCAGGCTTGTCCTCTCCATTCACAGGAGTGACTTTGCTGGCTTCAGCCAGTCGGGATCGTCTCATTCACGTGTTAAATGTGGAGAAGAACTACAACCTGGAGCAGACCCTGGACGACCACTCCTCCTCCATCACTGCCATTAAGTTTGCTGGTAAGCTCCTTTCCTCCGACCTGCTGGCCCCCAGCAGACGCGCCTCTTTGTCTGCAGGTAAGCACAGTCATGCCCTGTGGCCTGAAAGGAGTAGCAGCCTGTGGGTCCAGGGGAATCTGAAGACTGGCCTTTTTGGTTTACTGATTTATGAAAATTAATGTCAATAATACTATTTTTGAAGTGATGGAAGACCTCACAGTGGTGGCTCACACCTTTAAACCCAGTACTCGAGAGGCAGAGGCAGGTGGATCTCTGTGAGTTCGAGGCCCACCTGGTCTACAGAGTGAGTTCCAGGACTGCCAGGGCTACACAGAGAAACCCTGATTCAAAAAAAAGGACTTGTTTTGGTTCACGGATTAGGAGAAGATACAGTTGTTAGTAGGAAGGCCTGCCTGCAGGAGTAGGAGACAGTAGCCACAGTCAGGAACAGAGGTACCTGCTGAGACTACTCCATACAGCGCTGCCCCCCTTCCGGGTGGGTCATCCTGCCTCAGTTAAACCTCTGCAGGTTTCCTCACAGACGTGTGATATGTTACAGAGGTGATTCCAGATTGAGTTGGCAACCATCACAGAGGCTGCAGACATGGCTCAGTGGGTAGAATCCTTTCATGTAAGCATGGTGATCTGAGTTCTAATCCCTAGCACCCACATAAAAAGCTACCTGTATACCCAGTGTTGAAAGCATAGAGACGTGAGGATTCTGGGAAACGTCTAGCCTATGGTGAACGCCAGCTTCCGTGAAAGATGAAGAGCTGTGTAAATACTGAGGTGAAAGAGGCAAGCAGAGTGGTTCAGCCACCGCCAGGCCTGGTGACCCTGGAGCCCATGTAATGGAAGAGAGAACCAGCTCCTACAAGCCGTCCTCTGGCCTCCACATGCACACACTATACACTGTGTACACAGTAAATTAATAAATGTAAAAAAAGAAAAGGTAGAAGGTGACAGGAAGATGCCTGATACAGGCTTTAACCTGTGGAAGCGTGGGCCTGTGATTGCAGTCTTAGGAGTGGAGGCAGTAGGTCATGTAAGAGCATCCTGAGCTCTATGTGAGGCTCCTGAGTACAGCCCACACCAGCCTCAAACATACCGTGGAGCTAAGGGTGACCTTGAATTCATCTTCCCACCTTTGGTTCGTAGGTGCTGGGATCAGAGGCCCGCATCCCAGCACAGCAGTTTTTACTTGTTCTGATTTATTGTACAGTGCTGAGGCCTTGAGCATACCTAAACAAGGCTTGTACCACTTAGCTACATCCCTGACCCTTAGTTGTTCTTGGTTTTTGTGACAAGATTTCCTGTAGCCAAGCTAACTGGAACTTGGGTTCCTCCTGCCTCGGCTGCCCAAGTGCTGGATTACCGATTGCTGGGGTTACCAAGATGCACCACCACCCCATCTCAAAATGCTGTCCCCTCAGTACCCTGTATGCCCATGCTCTGCCCAGACCTGCCTCACACAATGTGTCTTAGAAGCCCTCCCCACCAATAGGAACCTTTCTGATCCCAATAGAGTTGGTTGCTTGCCCTGAAGTATGATTTGCTAGCTTCCCATTTTCCTCCTGCCTGTGGAGCCTAGGGCCAACCTGTACAATCCTTTCTCCTCCGTTTCCAGGCACCAGAGATGTCCAGATGATCAGTTGTGGAGCTGACAAGAGCATCTACTTTCGCAGTGCCCAGCAGGTAAAGTGGGGTGGCCTCTTAGGGGACTAAGGTCGGAAGCTTGTCAGGGGTGCCCTCTGAAGGTTCTGCCTGCCCTCCCAGAGCTCGGACGGGCTGCACTTTGTCCGCACCCACCACGTAGCAGAGAAGACCACGTTGTATGACATGGACATTGACATCACACAGAAGTATGTGGCAGTGGCCTGCCAGGACCGCAATGTAAGGTGAGGAGTTCTGTGCCCTTTGCTGGCCTGGCCCCAACTCGCGTCCAGCTTGGCCTAGTAAGATCTTACTTGCTTGCTAACTGTCTTCTCCCTGAGGAGAGACTGCCTGCTTTTTCTCACTGTTCATCTCTTCCCTGAAAAGCTGGTGAGGCTGATGGACCCAGCCTTTGTTCCTTAGAAGTGTGCTTCAAGCAGGCACGTGTCATACCTACTGTTGTAATAGCAGGTTCTTGGGAAGCGGAGATGAGATCACCCTTCAAATGAGCTTTATCAGCAGAGCCGGAGGCTCGTGGCTATAGCCATGTATATAATACAACGGGGCCCAAGGGCAGTGGCAGCCCTTCAGAGTATTAGGAGAGGTCCAGCCTCATAGTAGTGTGCTGAGAGTCTTGGAGGGAGGGAGAACTGGAGTATGGGAGAGTTAGGGCAGTACACTATGGGGAGCACAGGAGAGTCCGTGGTCGGCCCTTCCATTGCCAGAGTATCAGGTCTAACATCGTAGCCAGCATTGAGGGGCCCCAAAAGGAGAGACAGGCCCTTCCGTTCTGTAAGACAGTATGTTTCTGAGAGGCTCAGGGTAGGAGGATTCATGTGCCCTACAAGTTACAAGGCACTGATACAAGTAGTTACAATTCAAGGTTGTCTCCCAGCTGTCTGAGGGAGGGAGAGAGAACTCAGCTCTGAAAGAGTTGCAAGGTCACAGCAGCTCCGCTCTGTAGCTGAGAAAGAGAGTGCAAGAGGGTGGAGCCTCTTCTCAGGGGAAGAGGGCGTCAGAGGGTCTCATCCTCATCACAGCAGCACATGCCTGTAATCCTAGCACTGGGGAAAGCATCAGGAGTTCAAGGCCAGCCTTAGACAGGTCACCATGGCCTACATCAGACCTGGTCTCTGAAACCCAGAGGATGAGAAGCTCCTCCAGCAGGCTTAGCCAGCAGCCTGCAGAAGACTTCTGGCCTCCTGGGACTGTGGGGACAGAGAAGTCACAAACTCCTAGCTTATTTAACTGTCTCACTTGAGCTCCTATCTGGCAGGAGAATGCTGCTGTCACAGTGGGGACCAAGGTAGCCCAGCCCTTCTTCATGAAGTGCATGGTGGTCAGGGCTGAAGTGAAGGGAGCCTTGGGAGTCATGGGTGGCCTGTAGGAGGGTCAGGAGCTATCAGGGTTAGCCTGGGGAACGAGTTCTCTGCTTCCCTCATGGGCTCCTGGGGCTGAGCCCTAACTTGCTGTGTGAAAGGGAGCAGATACCAGATCAACAGTACTCCAGGACATAACCTCTGCTTGAGGTGGGGCCTCCCCCCCAGACATCATGGAGACAGGAGGAAGCAGAGGGCAGCAGGGCCAGGAGGACAGGGAGGTATCTTCTGCTTCCACATGACAACCCCACTTCCCCAGGGTCTACAATACAGTGAGTGGGAAACAGAAGAAGTGCTACAAGGGTTCCCAGGGTGACGAAGGCTCCCTGCTGAAGGTGAGTGTGACCCTCCACGTGCCCAGCCCCACCCTGCCTCTGCTGCTCTCTGCCCTTGGTGCTGATTAAAATGCTTCCACTGAACAGTGCCCTTGGGCCCACTCAGGCCTGGCTAACCAAGGGTGCTTAAGTTGAAGCGGAGGGAGGGGTCCTCTGTTGCTGAGTGGGCTCTAATTTGGGTGACAATGGGGTATAGCTGGAAGAAGCAGAGAGACTTTCACTCTTCTCCTGGCTTGTTCCCCCACAGGACACAGGACAAGTGGGCACTTCTCAGAGAGTCTGGCCCTAGGGAGTTGTCTGAGTTCAGGTCCCCTGAACAGTTCCCAGCTGTGCCTCAGGCTGACTGTGTAACCTTGGGCAGGTCTTTAATCCTGTTTGATCATCTGTCAATGCAAATGAAAACAGCGTCCATCCTGGGGTTGTTCTGCAGAGCATTAAGTTTGCAGGCACTCAGTCCTTAGCCCAGGGCCTGGCCACCATCAGTTCTGCCCTGGTGGCTGCTAATTCTTCACCAGCAAAATGAGAGTAGAAACTCCTTCTCTGTCAGGATGTGTCATGAGACTGCCCTGAGTTGATTCCCTGTACTAAGTGTCCAGAACCAGAGGGATGGTCACTCAGGGTGGTACTGAGATGTTTGGCCCAGGCCTCCCAGTAGGGATAAAGCAAGCAGCTCAAGATGACATGTGATTCTTCCCTCAGGTCCACGTGGACCCCTCAGGCACCTTCCTGGCCACAAGCTGCTCTGACAAAAGCATCTCCTTGATTGACTTTTACTCGGGCGACTGTGTTGCCAAGATGTTTGGCCATTCAGGTTGGTGACTGGCCATTCAGAAAGATGACTGCCTGTGCCCCCTTCCCTGCTCCCACAGCCTGGCCAAGAGTAAGAATGGCCTATCCTTTGCTTGCAGAAATTGTCACTGGCATGAAGTTCACCTATGACTGCCGCCACTTGATCACAGTGTCCGGAGACAGGTAGGACAAATGTAGAGGCTGCCTCTGGGTAGGCCTCACTCTAGGAGCAGGTGGGCATACATCATGGGGAGAGGGGCTTAGTCCTAGCATGCTGTGCTTTTAGCCTGTGTGAAGAGTGCTTCCAAGCTCCTGACTTGCTCTCACTCCGGTCAGTGTGCACCTTGAGTCATTTCCAGCCCTAGGTTCCACCCCAGACGTGTCATGGCCTTATGATGTTGAGCAGGTTCTTTCTCCTCTCTGACCCTCTGTTTGCTCTGTAAGAGAGATGGCCCCATCTGTCTGAAACCATGATGCTGCACCCTGTCCTATGGGATTGGTTGGTCCTGAGGAAGGAGGTCTCTCTTGTATCTCCCTTTGATTTACCAACGTTCTGCCTAAAGCTCTTTTCCTTGAGTCTTGAGGCCCTCAAGCAGGCCTTAGCTTGCTGAAATGCCTGGCCCTTGAGCCAGGGTCCAGAGCCCTTAAACTAAGCTGACAGGCATCTGTGGAGTAGGATCTTAGCCATGGTGATATGGGGGCTCCAGGCTCAGCTGTGGCGATCTTAGCCATGGTGATATGGGGGCTCCAGGCTCGGCTGTGGCGATCTTAGCCATGGTGATATGGGGGCTCCAGGCTCGGCTGTGGCTGTGGCTCCCACATGGACTTTGTTTGTTCTGTTTGTGCCCTGCTCTTTGCAGCTGTGTGTTCATCTGGCACCTGGGCCCGGAGATCACCTCCTGCATGAAGCAGCACTTGCTGGAGATCAACCACCAGGAGCAACAGCAGCAGCCTAAGGACCAGAAGTGGAGTGGCCCTCCCAGGTCCTGCCACCTCCAAGACCAGTGAAGTGGCCAAGGCCAAGAAACCCCTGGCCAAGCCCTCTCTACCCTTAGCCTGGTGGGAATGTCAGACTTTGGAAACAAAGTTCCAAAAGCACACTTACAAAAGGTTTTAAAATGCAGAAACCTCATTCTTAGTACCAAAAGGCCCTTCCTTCCCATCAGCGGAGAAGGATGCTCAGGAGGGGAACCAGCAGGGATGCCAGTGTCACTAGTGCTCTCTTACCCTTCAGAACAGAGCTGGGCATTCACTTGTTTGAGTCCCCTAAGCACATTGCTTTAGTCTCTCTGCCTTTCTCAGACTGTTGGAGTGAACTCCCAATACAGTCTCCCTAACTCACCCATGCTGGCCTTAAACTCAAGGCAGTCCTCCTGCCTCACTCCTGAGTGTTAAGATTATAGGCATGAGCCACAGTGCCCGGCTCAGATTCTGATTTGAGATTGAAGGTGTTGGTGAATGCTCATTTTAGCAGGAATGTTTAGATATTTCTTTTCTGATCTGGGCCTATTCCTGTCTGCCTCTCATCCTGGAAGCTTTGCCAGGGCCTCCATGCAGGCCCCAGGTACCTGTGAGGAATGACTGGGCAAGGCACCAAGGGAACGGGTCCTTGTTGGTGCTGTAGTTTTGAGGCTAATACCCTGCCTTGTGGCTCCCAGCAGAGTCACAGCTCAAACGTTGGACAGACTCTGCTCTAGACAAATCCCTGCCTCGCCCCATTTACCTACATTTCTCCTTTCTGTTTTCCTTCCCAAAGCCAGGAGACATATGCATCCATACCAAGTGAGATCCGTTCCCTGAGCCCTGGAGAGCAGACGGAGGATGAGATGGAGGAGGAATGTGAACCAGAAGAGTTGCTGAAAACACCATCCAAAGAGAGTTTGGACCCAGGTTAGGAAGGGGGACCAGTAGCCTGGGGTTGAAACTGTTGTGTAGTGTTGAGCTAGTGGCTTTGGCTGGTGTAACTGAGAAAATGAAGGGCAGTCGAGGTTTGCTGGGTCCAGGTGGTCATGTGATACTAAAAGGAAGCTACTCTCCCACTGAGTGACGTGTGCCTGCCTGGTATCCCAGCATTTAGCTACGTAGCAAGTCGAGGCTAGCCTGTGCATGCCTTTAATCCCAAAAGATATCTGTGAATTCAGGACCAGCCTGATCTACATAGGAAGTCTATACATAGCAGGTTCCAGAACAGCCTGTACTATAGAGAAACCCTGTCTCAAAAAGAGACACTTTGCTGAGTGTGGTTGCTCACACACACAGTGCACACTTACAGTGAAGGAGGAGGATCGCAAGTCCCAGGTCAGCCTGAGCTACATAGTAAGACTTTATCTCAAACCCACAAAGAAGAGGACGATCTTTGTCTCCATTCTCCGCCTCTGCTTTTCTTCACATCACCTTTGTACATAGGCAGACTGTCCCTTTCTGAGAGGGAAAGAGGCCTCTCTCAGCTGAAGACTTACAAAAGTCTGCAGAGAAATGAGGACTCCTTCCTGATTCTCAAGCGAAGTTCTGGCATTGTGATTTGTGTTCCTGAAGTAAAGTGTGTCCCATGTCAGAATCAGTTGCTGGGATCGGTCAGATCCCGCAGGCTCAGGCTCAGTCGGCTCTACTTAAGTACCACCCCGTTCAGTTTTTTCTAATTTCATACCGTGTTGTGGAAGCTGCACCCACCTCTCCTGGGTCACCTACTTGGGCATTGAGTATTTTTCCTGAACAGGCACACTGGATCCTGACATCAGACATTTTTTATTTTAAAAGGGAACCCTAAAAGTGCTCCAGATTCACCTGGATGTGCTATCAAAAATGGCATGTGAGGCTCTGCTCACTCCCCATACTGCAATACGGATTGAACTCGGGGCCCCGCACGTGCCAAGCTAACACTCTACAGCCAAGCCCCATCCATGGTCTTGGTTTTGGTCTTTTGAAAACAGGCTGTCATTTTGTAGCCTGGACTATGCTGGAGCTCTTGCTTCTCCTGCCTCAGCCTCCTGAAAGCTGAGATTATGGGCGTGTAGCCGTTCCCTCAGCCCCTCTCCCCAGTATTTAGACTTGGAGAGTTTTGTAAGTAATAGTATACTTTATTTAAATTTTCATTTCTCGCCAGGCGGTGGTGTCACACGCCTTTAATCCCAGCACTTGGGAGGCAGAGACAGGTGGATTTCTGAGTTTGAGGCCAGCCTGGTCTACAGAGTGAGTTCCAGGACAGCCAGGGCTACACAGAGAAACCCTGTCTCGAAAAACAATACAAAACAAAAATCATTTCTCTGATAGTTAGTGAGGTTGGACATCTTTTGACCCACCCATGGGTTCTTATGCCACCCCTTTTGGAGAAAAGTCAGTTGTAAGTGTGGTCCATTCATCTCTGAGGTGGCTTGACATGTCTTCATGTATCTGTGTGTCTGCAGATCCTCAGTGCCTGCTGACCAATGGCAAGCTGCCCCTCTGGGCAAAGCGGCTGGTGAGTGCACTGGGAGGATGGGAGATGTAGTGGCTGGCAGGGAGCCCTCCCCTTCCCTTCAGGAAGTCCTTTTTTCTCTCCATGTCTCCTTTCTGTGGAGAACCCCGTCATCCTTTCGGTCTCAGCTGAGGCAGCCCTTGGTTCAGGCAACCATCTGCGCCATGCCTGCCACTGTTCTGGCCGTTGGAGGTGGATCGGGGAGCAAGGGATGGTCTTGTCTTCCAGGCCTGCTCTCGTGTGAAGGGAAGTGGAGGGGGGTGTACCCCACATGGAGTAAGCTGTGCAGGAAGTGGAAACGACAATAGGAAGGACAAATAACGACTGGTCAGGATATCAGTTTAGTGCCAAGTGGCATCTGCTGAAGCCTCCAGAGCTTAAGGTAGTGACAGGAAATAGACCGGGCTGGAGAGATGGCTCAGCGGTTAAGAGCACTGACTGCTCTTCTGGAGGTCATGAGTTCAAATCCCAGCAACCACATGATGGTGGCTCACAACCATCTGTAATGTGATCTGAAGACAGCTACAGTGTACTTACATACAATAAATAAATAAAAACCTATGGGCCAGAGTGGAGCCAGAGCAATAAAATAAAGTAAAATAAAATAAAGGAAATAGGCCAAGGGACAGGCAGAAGCAGGTAAGAGGCCTGGAAGAGAGCCTGAGGGGCTGGATTAGAAGGAAGCGAGTGGACTATAGAGAGATTTCAAAGGTGGGGCCATTCGGTTGGATAGAAGGGAGAGAAATAGTACACAGATAGTGGTGGGGTGGAAGGAATGGTTACTTGTTGCCAGGGATGAGGGACAGGCTAGGAGTCTGTGAGGAGAGACTGGTAGCAGAACCTAACCTTTAGCCAGAGCTGTGGTACAGGCCTATAATCCAGGTATTCAGGAGACTGAGGCAGGAGAATTACAAGGTCAAGGCTTGCATGCACTGGGGAGTGAGGAGAAGACCACCTGGGCAGTTTAGTAAGACCTAAGGCTGGGAGGGAAGCACTAAGGCAGGCACACACACACCCTGCATTTGGGAGGAAGGGGAGGGGACCTCCTGGGTTCAAGGCCAGCCTAGGGTAACTGTCTCTAACAAGCGATGGTTGGAGGTGATTGTTAGCATTCATGACAGCCCTCGGCTGTGGCGATACACCTCTCTAGCCCCAGCTCCAGAGGGATTAGGTCATCCTCTGCTACATAGCAAGTTCCAGGCCAGCCAGGGTACATGAGAACATGAGACCCTGTCTCTGAAACAAACAAAATAAGAAGTGGGAACAAGTAAAAAGGAAGCTGGGAACAGGTTATAGCACAGGGAGCCTTCGGTTTAACCTCAGCAAACATCAAGAAAGGTTTAGGACTTTATTTCATCCCCAAGGCCATGCCTAGGTCAGGCCCGGCCTTTGCGGGCTGCAGCTACTCCTTGCCTGCACACTATGACACAGCGATGCTCCACCTGGACTCAGTTCTCAGCCCCTTTGTTGTCTTTTACTTGGTCTTCACTTGTATGGAAGCCATTAGTCTATTATTTTAATGTCCTGGAAAACAATTTTATTTTACATTCTTAAAAGAGTAAAAAAAAATACTAGCTGAGCAGTGGGTGGCACACGCCTTTAATCCCAATACTCAGTGGGCAGAGGCAGGCAGATCTCTGAGTTCCAGGCCAGCCTGGGATATACAGAGAAACCGTGCCTTGAAAAGACAAAACAAAAATACAAAGCAAAACCTTCAGTGGGGCCTTTCCTATCTCTGTTTCCCAGACAGGAGATCTGAGGCCCCGAGAAGTTAAGTGCATATTCAGCTGTCTCACAGTTGGACATGAGAAAATGTAGACTTAACACAAATCACAAATGTGTCCTCTCCAGCAACAGCTTTGGTAGAATAGGAACGGGGCTGTTTGCGTGCGTTTGAGTGACAGCTGACAGAATTTGTTGGTGAAATACAAGTGACGTGGGAGGAACAGACCACGTTGGGAGGAGAATGACTGCCACTATTTGGGGCTTAAGAAACTGCAAAGAATCACTGGGGCTGGTAAGACTTGTGCTGGAGGGAGCAGATAAGGGGGAATCAGAAGTAGAGCCCCAACGTAGTAACTCTGAGACACCCGTGTGGAGAGGTGGCAAAGCCTTGTTGGCAAGAGGCTCCTAGCTGGTCTGGTGGCTTACACCTATAGTCCCAGTTGTTGAGAGCCAGGTCAGAAAGACTGGCTCTTTGGGAGGTTCCAGCCACCGTGGGCTACAGTGTAAGACCTTATCTGGAAGAAAGGAGGAGGGAGAGAGAGAGAGAGGTGAGGGGAAGGTAGACAGGTTCAGGACAGAGGCTCCTCATGTCTGGAAGCTGTTTTCTTAAAGGGTGTAAAACCAGGAGACCACATGAGACCTGTGTCGTCCTTGTCGAAAGTAGCAGACGCATGGCTACGGCTAGCTGTCTAACTGTCTCCCTGTCCCTCAAGCTAGGGGATGATGATGTGACAGACAGCTCAGCTTTCCATGCCAAGCGCAGCTACCAGCCACACGGCCGCTGGGCAGAGCGAGCTGAGCAGGAACCCCTCAAGACCATCCTGGATGCCTGGACCCTGGATTCCTACCTTACACCCATGAAGCCTGAAAATCTAGACGACTCTATGCTGGACTCAGTAGAGCTAAGTGAGGTACAGCCAGTCCCCCAGCCTCCCTGCACTGTGGCTGCTCACTCAGGGATGAGGAGAGAGGGTTACAGGGGATGGTGGAAGGAGTGGGTCACTCAGAGACTTGACCAAGTTCCTTTTTTTTTTTTTTAAGATTTTTTGTTTGTTTTTGTTTTTCGAGACAGGGTTTCTCTATGTAGCCCTGGAACTTACTCTGCAGACCAGGCTGGCCTCAAACTCAGAAATCCACCTGTCTGTGCCTCCCAAGTGCTGGGATTTTAATAAGTGTGCCACCACTGCCTGGCTAAAGATTTATTTATGAGTACACTGTGGCTGTCTTCAGACAAACCAGAAGAGGGCATCAGATCCCATTACAGATGGTTGTGAGCCACCGCGTGGTTGCTGGGAATTGAACTCAGGATCTCTGGAAGAGCAGTCAGTGCTCTTAACCACTGAGCCATCTCTCCAGCCCTTGATCAAACTCTTAAAGCTTGGGCCCCAGGATAGGCTTCTCTTCTAAATGGGGAGCGCTCACGTGGGTAGAGCCCTGGATTAGCCCCTTCCTGCCTGTGACCCGAGGTAAGAGGCTTGCCTCTCTTGTCTTAGTTTTCCAAATAATGGTTCTGTTGCCTCAGAGAACGCAGATGCAGGGCTGGGCCCTCACTCTTTTCCTAGAAGGCAACCCTTCCCTGTCCTCATGAATCCATTTCCTCTTTACTGTGATACAGTGCTCACTAGGTAACGGACACACGTCTCAGGGAGAAGGCTTGGTGAGCTACCTGTGTCACTCAGAGGTACTTGCCACCTACATCACCCTCAGAGCATGTTCTACCTCCTGGAAAATCTCTTCTAACCCCAAGTCAGTACCCACCCACCATACCTGCGGGAACCTGCGCTCTCACCTCTCCTCATGAACTGTTTGCCTGGTTTTGTTGTGTTTTGAGACAGTCTGATCATGTAACTCTGGCTGGGCTGGAGCTCATTACATAGACGAGGCTGGCTTTGAGCTCAGAGACCCTCTGCCTCTGCCTCTGGGTGCTGGGATTTAAGGTGTGTGCCGCTGAGGCTGCCCAGCCAGTGCTTTGCTTATTCTTGGTTGTCCTGTAACCAGACAGAGGGTTAGGCGTCCTCTGGTCTTAGGTCACTGCTGATGCCAGGGTGGGCGAGGAGGTCTGGCCGAGTGCTGACTTCACACTGTCTCTGATGTGTCTGGCAGTCGGGGCTGTGGGGCCACTCCTCTCCCACTTGTGCATAACTGCTGGCAGCATTCAAGGGCCTGGGGTGAACCTGGCTACCTCAGAACAGCTCTGCTCTTCACTCCTAGTCAGGGAATCCCAAAGAGGACAGCCGAGGACGCCCCTCCTACCTGCCTCTACAGAGGGAAGCCACTGAGACAAGAGAACTCATCCTCTGCTCCCCAGAGGTGGAAGTGACAGTTACAGGGATACACAGGTGAGTGTCCTGTGCACCACAGGAACCCATCATTGGAGAGAGGGAACCCTGGTGAGAGGCCCAACCTAGAAAAACTCTTTGTTCTCCCAGTGGCTTGTGGGAATGGACACGGGTGAGTTGAGGGCTGTCTCAGACAGACGCAGCTGCAGCCTCACGGTGCCGGGTTGGATGAGGGATTTTGTTTGGAGGCAGGAGAGGCTGGGGTGTGCTCTGGGAGCAGGGTGTGGGCCTCAGGGTTCTGGGAAAGAGCCAGTTGTTAACTGCCAGTCTAACCCCGCCCTGACGGTGTTGCAGGGAGTATTGTGAGGAGGAGGCAGAGGCAGGACCTGAAGACCAGCAAGGCGACTCCTACCTCAGGGTCTCCTCCTCCGTCAGTTCAAAGGATCAGAGTCCCCCTGAGGGTGAGTGGGGAGCAAGCAGGCACCCTGTAAGAGCCTCTTGTGGGCACCGGAGGTGGCCTTGACCCAGTTCTCCCATGTTGATAATGTCACAGAAGACAAAAGTGTCTCTGCCATTACCTGAGGATGCTGAGCTGCTAGCCGAGCACCCAGCTCTGCCACTGCCTGATTGGGGAGCCTTGCTGGCCCATAACAATGTAAGGGGATACATATTGCCCCCATCCTCCAGATGGGAAAACAAATCCCAAAGCATCTGGTCAGTGTGCCCTGTCTCACCTCAGGCAGGCTCCTGACCCCCCTCTATCCCTGCAGACTCAGGGGAGTCAGAGGCTGAACTGGAGTGCAGCTTTGCCGCCCCCCATGTCTCAACTCCTCGCACAGACCCTGGCCCTCACCTCACCATGACAGGTAAGCCAGGTAAAAGTTCTGTCAGCCCTGAGCCTCAGTTTCCTCAATAAAAGACTGCCATTTCCTTCTCAGCCAGCTGTGTGGCAGGCAGGTCTGGGTTTCTCCATTGTCAGGCGTCGTCTGCCGTGACTCACAGTGCTGACAGCTTCTCTCCACCCTGCCTCCCGTCCAGAGCACTCGAGTCCAGAAGAGCTCTCCCAGCCTGAGGTGCCAGGCTTGGGCAATGGCTCCTTACCCCAGACGCCTGAGCAAGAGAAGTTCCTCCGCCACCATTTTGAGACACTTACTGATGCCCCTACTGAAGGTAGGAACTGACCTTGTACCCTAATTGTGTGTGCGTGTGTGTGTGTACGTGTGTGTGTGTGCGTTTAGTGCCAGGCACAGTGTTGGTGTTTTTGGGTAGTCTTCATGGTAAGGTGGTGAAGGATGGGTGGGAGAGCAAAACAGTTTGGCCCCTCAGTTCACACCTGAGGCCTCTGAGGTGTCTGCAGGCCTGAGGACCCATGGGTGTCTTCCTAGAGCTCTTTCATGGATCACTGGGAGACATAAAGATCTCAGAAACTGAGGACTATTTCTTCAATCCCCGGCTGAGCATCTCCACCCAGTTCCTTTCCCGCCTCCAGAAGACCTCCAGGTAGAAGCTAGTAACCCCTATGCTCCCCTCTTTCTACCCCCAGCCCCAGGTGGAAACATGCCCCTCAGTTACCCCAGGGAAGGCCATGTGAACGTCTTTCCCACCTGGCTTCCTCCCCAGGTTCCCTCCCCGGCTGCCCCTGCACCTTATAAAGTCTCCAGAGGTTCAGCCTATGGGCCAAGGGGGCAACCAGCACAAAGCAGGGCCCCTGAGAGCAGGTACTGGCTACATGTCCTCAGATGGGACCAACGTGAGTATTGGGGTCACTCTCTCAGGACACAGGGCTGCAGGCCAGTAGCCCTTGTCCTTAACGAGAGTTGTGCTTGCAGGTCCTCTCTGGGCAGAAGGCTGAAGAGACTCCAGAGGCCTTGAGTCTACCAGGTAAGTCTCCCTAGTCCTAGAGGAACAGCCCTGGGTGCCCAGTGGAGCCATCGAGGTGTCTGTTCAGATCTGAAGCTTTCTTAGGGCAGGGCTCTGAGGCAGGGGTACAAGTGAACCATCTGCTTCTTTTACAGCCCCTCCCCTCACAGGCCCGGCATCCTGTGCCCTTCCTTCCTTGGTGCCGCCCACAGACAGGAAGCCTTTAGTCCCCACATCTGCACTGACCACAGGCCGGGAGCAGAGTGTCTCCACCCCATCGACGTGTTCTTACCTGGAGTCCACAATGAACTCACATGCCAAGATAACACGCAGCATCTCTCTTGGGGCCAGTGAGGGCCCTGTGACAGCTGAGCCACCCAGGTCACTTCCTAAGCCCCTGTCCCCCAGCCAGGACCTCCAGGCCATCCCCACCACAGTGGTCCTCACTTCTAGCATCAGAGACCCTGAGCCTGCACTGCCTTCCTGGGGCAACCATGAGGCCCGAGCCAGCCTGAAACTGACCTTATCCAGTGTCTGTGAGCAGCTTCTCTCTCCACCCGCACTGGAACCACCCACCACACATGTGTGGTCTCAGGAACCTGTGGATGTCCCACCTAGTATGGCAGTCACAGTAGCCAGCTTCTGTGCACCCAGCCCTGTAGATATGAGCACCCTGGGACTCCACAGTTCTGTGTTTCTCCCAAAGACCTCAGCCTCTGGGCCCCTCACCCCTCCTGCTCACCTCAACAGCCTCCAACTTCTAGAGGCCAGGTCTAGGATGCCTGGCAGCACTGCTGCTCTCCTGGAGCCTACCCCTGGTGAGTATTGCCCTTGGGATGTGGCTAGAATGCTAGCCTGTCCCCTGTGCTGCTTGACTCACCTCCCCAAGTGGGACACTCAGGCTGGCCACAGGGGCTGTGCCAGGGTCACTCATTCATCCATCCATTGCCTCATTTTCATAGTCAGTGCACACATGCTGGCATTTGTTCTAGGTCTTGGATGCACACATGAGACATAGTAACAACAAGGGAAGCTTGATTCCTACACTAGGGGAGAAGTCCAGACAAAAAAAAAATCTCAGTGTCGAGCATATCACAAGGTGATCAAGCTAGTGAGAAACATAAGAGAAAAGGGGGCCAGCAGTGTAGCTTGAGTTTCAGGGTGGCAGCAAAAGGCTTTCGGGGAAAGGTTACTACATTCAGAGAGCCTGATGGGGAAGAGGAGCCTAGGGCCTGAAGACGGTGGTCCGTGTCCAGCAGTCTGTAGCCCAGCTACCTGGCCTCTCTTGGGCCATCTAGAAAGGCAAAATATCCTAGCCATTTACTCTCTACCCCTAGATGTATCTGGTGTGATCCCAGATAGCCCTGGACACTGTGGCGAGCCTGGGCCACGAGCTGAAGTCCCTCCCCCAGCACTCGTTGACCTAGACAGTGTGGGGTCAGTCTTGCACAGGCTGCAGACTGCCTTCCAAGAAGCCCTTGACCTTTACCACACGGTAAGCCAAGGAGCCCAGGCAGGATGGGACAATGGAGAGGACTCCGTGCCACTACCTGGATGTCCTCTAACAAGCTTGCCATCCCTTCCAGTTGGTCTCCAGCAACCAGCGGGGTGCTGAGCAGCAGCAGGCACAGACCGAGCTGGCCTCCACCTTTGACTGGATCCACAACCAGCTGGAAGCCAGCAGCTGTATGGCCGCAGCTAACCTGGCCCCACCCCAGACACTGCCTAGCCCAGGTCCTCCGTCCCCACCTATACTTTGTCCCTTGGCCAGCCCAAACCTGCAGGCCCTGCTGGAACACTACTCAGAGCTGCTGGTGCAGGCAGTGAAGAGGAAGGCAAGGGGTGACTGAGAGCCTGCAGCCCCTCTACCAAAGCCCTGCTGCCCTGGAGAAATAGATTTGTAAGCAAATAAACTGAAATTGTTTCCTGGAACCTGTCCTGTCTGTAAAGCCCTCCTCACTGGATGGAGAGAGAGAGAGAGAGAGAGAGAGAGAGAGAGAGAGAGAGAGAGAGAGAGAGA